ATCTTCTCCCGCTTATCCGTGATCGGGTCGCGGGGGTAGCAGTTCCAGCAGAGAGCCCCACACTTTCTTTTCCCTGGCGACATCAACCAGCTCTGACTGGGGGATCCCAAGGCGCTCCCAGGCCAGCGAAGAGATATAATCCCTCCACCTGGTCCTAGGTCTACCCCTTGGTCTCTTCCCAGCTGGACGTGCCTGGAACACCTCCCTAGGGAGGCGCCCAGGTGGCATCCTAACTAGGTGCCCGAACCACCTCAACTGGCTCCTTTCGACGCGAAGGAGGAGCGGCTCAACTCCGAGTCCCTCCCTGATGACCGAACTTCTCACCTTATCCCTAAGGGAGACACCAGCCACCCTGCGGAGAAAACCCATCTCGGCCGCTTGTATCCGCGATCTCGTTCTTTCGGTCATGACCCATCCTTCATGACCATAGGTGAGGGTAGGAACGAAAATGGCCCGGAAGACCGAGAGCTTTGCCTTCTGGCTCAGCTCCCTTTTCGTCACAACGGTGCGGTAAAGCGACTGCAGTACCGCTCCCGCTGCTCCGATTCTCCGGCCCATCTCACGCTCCATTGTTCCCTCACTCGAGAACAAGACCCCGAGATACTTGAACTCCTTCACTTGGGGTAAGGACTCATTCCCTACCTGGAGTGGACAGTCCATCGGTTTCCTGCTGAGAACCATGGCCTCAGATTTGGAGGTGCTGATCCTCATCCCAGCCGCTTCACACTCGGTTTGCGAACCGATCCAGTGAGTGCTGAAGGTCGCAGACCGATGAAGCCATTAGAACCACATCATCTGCAAAAAGCAGTGGTGCAATCCTTAGTCCACCGAACTGCAGACCCCCTCCCCCATGACTACGCCTCGAAATCCGATCCATGTATATTACAAACAGGATTGGTGACAAAGCGCAGCCCTGGCGGAGGCCAACCCTCACCGGAAATGGGTCCGACTTACTGCCGAGGACCCGGACACAGCTCTCGCTTTGGGAGTACAGAGATTGGATGGCCCTGAGTAGAGACCCCCCTCACCCCATACTCCCGCAGCACCTCCCACAGTAACTCCCTGGGAACTCGGTCATACGCCTTCTCCAAGTCTACAAAACACATGTAGACCGGATAAGCGTACTCCCAGGCCCCCTCCAGGATCCTTGCGAGAGTAAAAAGCTGATCCGTCGTTCCACGACCAGGACGGAATCCGCATTGTTCCTCCTCAATCTGAGGTTCGACAATCGGCCTGACCCTCCTTTCGAGTACCTTAGAGTAAACTTTCCCGGGGAGGCTGAGTAGTGTGATGCCTCTGTAATTGGCACACACCCTCTGATCCCCCTTTTTAAATAGGGGAACCACCACCCCGGTCTGCCACTCCTTCGGTACTGTTTCCGACTTCCACGCAACGTTGATGAGACGTGTCAACCATGACAGTCCCTCAACACCCAGAGCCTTCAGCATTTCCGGGCGGATCTCATCCACCCCCGGGGCTTTGCCACTGTGGAGTTGTTTGACGAACCTCAGTGACCTCCCCCCGGGAGATTGGTGTTGATCCCCCGTCATACTCCAGCTCTGCCTCTAACATAGAGGGCGGAGTTGTCGGGTTCAGGAGTTCCTCAAAGTGTTCCTTCCAACGCCCTAACACTCCATCAGTTGAGGTCAACAACGTCCCATCCTTACTGTACACAGCTTGGATGGTTCCCTGCTTCCCCCTCCTGAGGTGTCGGACAGTTTTCCAGAACAACTTTGGTGCCGCCCGAAAGTCCTTCTCCATGTCTTCTCCGAACTTCTCCCACACCCGCTGCTTTGCCTCGGCCACGGATGAGGCTGCTGCCCTTCGGGCCTGTCGGTACCTTGCAACTGCCTCGGGAGTCCCCCGGGATAACAAATCCCTGAAGGCCTCCTTCTTCAGTCGGACGGCTTCCCTGACCACCGGTGTCCACCAGGAGGTTCGAGGGTTACCGCCCCTTGAGGCACCTAGGACCTTGAGACCACAGCTCCCCGCCGCGGCTTCGGCAATAGAGGCTTTGAACACCGACCACTCTGGTTCAATGTCCCCAACCTCCACAGGAATGCCCGAAAAGCTCCGCCGGAGGTGTGAGTTGAAGGCCTCCTGAACTTGGGCCTCCTCCAGACGTTCCCAGTTCACCCGAACTACACGTTTGGGCTTACCAGGTCTATCCAGAGGCTTCCCTCGCCACTCGACCCAACTCACCACCAGATGGTGATCAGTTGACAACTCCGCCCCTCTCTTTACCCGAGTGTCCAAAACATACGGCCTCAGGTCCGATGATACGATAACGAAATCGATCATGGACCTTCTGCCTAGGGTGCTCTGGTACCACGTACACTTATGAGCATCCTTATGTTCGAACATGGTGTTTGTTATGGCCAATCCATGACTAGCACAGAAGTCCAGTAACAAACCACCACTCCGGTTCAGATCAGGGGGGGCCGTTCCTCCCAATCACGCCCCTCCAAGTGTCTCCATCATTGCCCACATGTGCGTTGAAGTCTCCCAGCAAGATTAAAGAGTCCCCTTCAGGAGCCCCATACAGGACTCTTTCCAGGGTCTCCAAGAAGGCCGTATACTCTGAACTGCTGTTGGGTGCATAAGCACACACAACAGTCAGAGTTTTCCCCCCCATAACCCGCAGGCGTAGGGAGGCGACCCTCTCGTCCACTGGGGTAAACTCCAACAACGAAGCACCTAACCGGGGACTTGTGAGTATCCCCACACCCGCCCGGCGCCTCACACCTTGAGCAACTCCGGAGAAGAATAGAGTCCAACCCCTATCCAGAAGTAAGGTTCCAGAGCCGACGCTGTGCGTAGAGGTGAGCCCAACCAGATCCAACTGGTAACGCTCCACCTCCCGCACAAGCTCCGGCTCCTTCCCCCCCAGAGAGGTGACGTTCCACGTCCCCAAAGCCAGCTTCTGTCGCCCGGGTCTGGTCCGTCGAGACCCTCCGCTTTCACTGCCACCCTTCTGGCAGCGCACCCGACCCCATTGATGTTTCCCGTAGGTGGTGGGCCCGCGGGACGGAGAAGCGGAGGTGTTGCCCACGTTGCCTTTTCGGGCTGGGCCCGGCCGGGCTCCGTGGCAAGCCCGGCCACCAGACGCTCGCCGACGAGTCCTCCTTCTGGGCCTGGCTCCAGAAGGGGACCCCGGGCTTCCTCCGGGCCGGGTATCCTCACTTCTTGTATCGTCTTTCATGAGGTCTTTTGAACCAATCTTAGTCTGGCCCCTTGCCTGAGACCAATTTGCCATGGGAAACCCTACCAGGAACACAAGGTTCCAGACAACACAGCCCCCAGGTTCATCAGGGCACACAAACCTCTCTACCACGGTAAGGTGCTGGTTCTTCAGAGAGGTACTTCTTACATGTTGAACACAAATACCTGTACTTTCTACTTCTTACACGTTGAACTCAAATACCTGTACTTTCTACTTCTTACATGTTGAACACAAATACCTGTACTTTCTACTTCTCACATGTTGAACACAAATACCTGTACTTTCTACTTCTTACACGTTGAACTCAAATACCTGTACTTTCTACTTCTTACATGTTGAACACAAATACCTGTACTTTCTACTTCTCACATGTTGAACACAAATACCTATACTTTCTACTTCTTACATGTTGAACACAAATACCTGAACTTTCTACTTCTCACATGTTGAACACAAATACCTGTACTTTCTACTTCTTACATGTTGAACACAAATACCTGAACTTTCTACTTCTCACATGTTGAACCCAAATACCTGTACTTTCTACTTCTTACATGTTGAACCCAAATACCTGTACTTTCTACTTCTTACATGTTGAACTCAAATACCTGTACTTTCTACTTCTTACATGTTGAACACAAATACCTGTACTTTCTACTTCTTACATGTTGAACCCAAATACCTGTACTTTCTACTTCTTACATGTTGAACACAAATACCTGTACTTTCTACTTCTTACATGTTGAACACAAATACCTGTACTTTCTACTTCTTACATGTTGAACCCAAATACCTGTACTTTCTACTTCTTACATGTTGAACCTTAAATACCTGTACTTTCTACTTCTCCACATGTTGAACACAAATACCTGTACTTTCTACTTCTTACATGTTGAACACAAATACCTGTACTTTCTACTTCTCACATGTTGAACACAATACCTGTACTTTCTACTTCTTACATGTTGAACACAACACCTGTACTTTCTACTTCTTACATGTTGAACACAAATACCTGTACTTTCTACTTCTTACATTTTGAACACAAATACCTGTACTTTCTACTTCTTACATGTTGAACACAAATACCTGTACTTTCTACTTCTTACATGTTGAACTCAAATACCTGTACTTTCTACTTCTTACATGTTGAACACAAATACCTGTACTTTCTACATGTTGAACACAAATACCTGTACTTTCTACTTCTTACATGATTAACTCAAATACCTGTACTTTCTACTTCTTACATGTTGAACACAAATACCTGTACTTTCTACTTCTTACATGTTGAACTCAAATACCTGTACTTTCTACTTCTCTCATTTTCCAAACAGCTGGTTCCTTTAGTCTGAATGTGTGTTTGATGCGTGATCATTATTCTTTAGAGTCATTGCGTGCCTATTGATTTGAACACGATCCGTGTATCCATCATTTCCTGGTCTTCTCTAAAGAAGAGGGACCAATGGAAACGTTGTCATGTTGCCGTTGTTCAGCATGGAAACATTCATTAGCTAACAATGACATTATTGTTCTGTTAATATAAAGGGAGGCAGGTACTCTTTAAAGCAGCTGCTAGTTATGGGTACTATTTCAAAGCCTCTTTACTTTTACTTGAGTAAAGAAGTTTAGTCAGTACTTCTACTTTTACCAGAGTATTTTTAAACACGAGTATCTGTACTTCTACTTGAGTAAAGGATGTGTGTACTTTTGCCCTCTCTGGTGTATTTCCTGGTCAGACAGCCTCCACGCTGCCCTTCTTGCCCCATGTTTGTGCATGTGGTGAAGCCTCCTGTCTGATCTCTCTGTGCATGTTCAGACTCTTTTGTCCGCCAGAACTTTAATAGAATCCTGCCCTGCGTCTCTTTTCTTTGTCACTCTATCTTCTTTTCACGGCCCTCGGCGCTTTAATCAATTTGTGACCAGTGTGTGTGTGTGTGTTTCTGTACCCTCTCCCGCTCCTCTTTGTCCCTCCGTCTCCTCTTCCTGTCTCGGAGCATCCTCCTCCACTCCTTCTCTAACTCGGGGCATGTTGGCAGGCCCTCCTCCGGCTGCCTCTGGCACCTGTCCATCTGGAAACACAGGGGCAGAGCAAAATCACTTTGTATTCCTGTCACCTCGGCCACTCTTTGCTCAATTCATTTCTAACGGCGGCCAAAAACAGATGGTCGTATTACAGTCAGAAATTGGGAAAGTTATGCCTCTGCATCCTGTGTCTGCGGCATACATCAGCTGCAGGGCGTCTGCAGGTTATTAACACGCGTCTCTTGAAAAACATTTACAAAGCAGCTGAGAAACAATCTAATTTTAGTAGTTTAATATAATATTTACAGAGACAGTGAGACTTTCTGTTCAAACTGTCAGAATTTTTAAATGTCTTGCTCAAACGATGATTTTGCTCATGGCCTTACCTCAAGACTGACTAAATAAAAGCTGGTTTCTATTTTAAAACTCAAACTCAACAGGAACATATTGTAAAGAAATGGCATTATAATTGGTATAGTAGTGAGTGGCTGATGGAATGAGTTGTTAATGGAAGATTTCAAACAAAAACAAACAACATGAGGTTTAGCATTGCTAGTCACTTCTGAATGAAATGTATATTAAAAATAAAGCTCCTTGCAAAGCTGATTTAAAGATTGAAACTGTAAATATAATATATATTGTATGAGTTTAGTTAGTACATCTTTCTAAACCACCATACACTTTCTGCGTACCAAATGGCTAACCATAATTAGCGACTAGCTTGTGAACATAGTGTAGCATTTAGCGGCTGAAAAAAAGGCTATATTTTCCTCCAACAGAGCTAAAAGGAGAGTCAATGTTAGCATCGGACTAATTGGCCATATGGCTTTGAAGCAAGTCGTTTTAAAAAAAAGAAAATTACGGGAATTGAAAAATAACAGGTACGACAGCATGGCTTTGCTGATATCGAATTAGCTTTTTAGCTTGCAATTAGCTTTAGCTTGTAATTAGCTTTAACAAAAACATTTAAATGTGATCTTCTCCTTCAATAAGCGAGTTGAGACTATTAAGAGGTTAACTTACTGTTCTTTGAAAGTGATAATAAAAGGTAACAGCAAAAAAAGCGAGGTAATATTTCAACTTAACAGGCTACTTAATAAGTAGCTTGAATGTCAACAAGAATAGGATTTGTCTTGGTTGCTAGTTGTACGGAAGTTGCTACTGGGGCTAAGAGGTTTCTTTTTAAATTAGGGCTTTATTCCAAAAACACATGGTCACAATTCCTTTATTAATCCCATTTTGGATTATTAGTATGAAGTATATGAAATGCAGTGGCGAACCGTCAGCGCCTTCAAGGTATTCAGAGAATACCCTGGAACACTCAGATAAAACAAACAAAAAATCGATGTAATTATATAAATAAAATGTATGTAAAATAATAAATGAGAATGGTATCTGTGTTGTTGATCTGTAATATTACAGTGTTACGTTGATTTGTTTGTCGCGGCGGCGGAGGGTGTGTGTGTGTACAAAAGGTCCAGTTGTGTAGACACGGTTCGCCACTGATGAATTGGTGAAAAGTGTAAGTCCATAATATTTATTCATTTGTAAAAATTCAAATAAAAACGTTTGACATTTGTTTTAGAGTTGTTGTCATACTGACAATGTTGGTTACAGATGTTTTTTGTTAGTCTTATGTATTGTGTGGTATTGTCTTTAATAAATAATGATATTAATATGTTTTGATCCCCTGTAGTGATGCGCCTTGTAGTGATGTGGGTCCTGCAGAGTAAACCCTGTGGTGGGATTATTTGGGTCAAACAACATCAATTCTGCAGATAAAACCTGTTTAAAAAACATTATTCCAAGTGTAAATATTATATTATATTAATCCTGTCTCCTCTGTGCTTTCATTAACTGTGTTAGCCCGGATCCACAGTGTTGCATAGTGTCGTTTACTCTCATTGATTTTATTTATGAAAATGATCGTTGAATGGTATTTTGCTGAAAGACGGGACACAGCAAAAAAAAATCATTATTTTTGCTCTTTTTCGACCGCAGTCAGTGGAGTCATGGGAATAATAAAAGGAAAGACAGTGGGCTTGCACAGGGGGACAAAGTGCATCAGATGATTGTGGGTGCAGGGGGTGATGGAGACCCCGCTCTGACCTGAAACTCCTTCTCTTTAATCTCCTGCTGTAGAGACAGAGCGGTGGCGTGCTTCATGGAGAGCTCTGCGGAGACGGCCATCATGCGCTGGTTGGAGTCGATGACTTGAGTTCGGAGCTCATTCAACTAGAGGCAGGCAGAGAGACACACACACACACACACACACACACACACACACACACACACACACACACACACACACACACACACACACACACACACACACACACACACACACACACACACACACACACACACACACACACACACACACACACACACACACACACACACACACACACACACACACACACACACACACAAGCTGAATCATATATTGATTCCAAATAACTGTAGATCTTTTGATAAACAAATTCTCACTCCCAAAGTTTTGGAATTGCTTGTTAAATGTTTAGTGTCGCTTCAAATGAATCGTCAGAACTCACAGTAGGGCAGGTAATATATCAATAATTGGTTGATACCGTGACAACAGACCCGATATTGTCTAAGATTTTGGATATGGTAATATTGTAATGGTTTTAAAGGCTGTATTGCGGTAAAGTGGTGGCATTTTCAGAAGATATCACACTGCTGTAGATAAGAAGTTAAGAAGTACTTTATTGATCAAAATGTGGGAAATGTTTGTCTTACAGAAGCATAAAAAGACATGGCATTGTACAATACAAATGTAAAGACTAGAAATAAACAACAAAGTAGAAAATATCATGTTGAATTACAAAATGTACAGTAACAAATATAAAGTTATTATATATATAAGTATGTGAGGCATGGAATATTATATCCGTTCTATTATTTGCATTTACCCACTTATCCACATGACTAATGATTATAATCAAAAATCTATCTACAATATCAAGGTATTTGGTTATATATGATGTTCTTCATATGGAAAACGATATTGTTCACTCGTGAAATGAGTCCACCTGTGCCTCAGCATTTGGCGATTTACGAGTGAGAAAAATGTGCAGACAGAAGCTGTGGAGCTAATGATTCAATATGATTTGATTTAGATCTATGCTAATGAAAAATGATGATGAGGTAGATTTAATTACGGCTTCCGATCTATCTTCATTAGTGTCATCATTACATGTTTCCACTATTTAATACATGCAATGAACCCTGTTCTCCTGACTCGTTATAGTCGTAGCAGCACAGAGAAATACAGATGAGAGGAAGACGGGGGAAATGAAGTGTAATGCTCGGTGAACTCTTTGATGCCCACTGTGCTCCTCACATGGAGCGCACATGCTGCGAAAACAACGAGCGGGTTTGAAGGAGTGGACTGAGTTAGTAGGTGAATGATATAACAAGTATCTTGTGTGTGTTAATCCGAGTGTGGGAGTGTGTTCTTCTGTGTGTTTTGTTCTATCCGTGTGTGTACTCTGGCTAAGCCCCGTCTCTGTCCGTGTGCTGGAGGTTTTTTTTGTCTACCTTCTTTGCCAGTGAGAGTCGGTCCTGCTGGCAGTTCTCAGCCCGCTCGCTGAGAGGCTGCGAGAGCCGGGTCACCTGGTCCACCAGGAGCTGTTTCTCCAGCAGCCGCCTCTCCTGGTCTGATAGAGACATCTCCAGCTAAATGCATAGAGACACAAAGATTACTGTCATTCATGTCTTGGAAGGAGGGGTAAAAGGGCAAGAAATATTACCTCAGTGGACGCATTTCATTCATTCTCTGCCACTAGGAGCTTCTCATTAAAACATTAAAAGGGGGCCATATTAGGGTTCATTTGTGTACTTTGTTTCCATGCTTGAATGTTCAAAAAGGTCTTTATTTTTCTCATACTGCCTTTGTTGTGATTGGTCAACAGCTTAGAAATGTCCTTTCCCTTAGCCGATAATCAGTGGCGGTGCCAGGGTATGGCTGGGGTAGGCTACAGCCATACCAAGAAATTAGCCCCACCATGAAAAATTATGTTAAAGTAGCAAATTAAATTAAATAATAAGCAAAATGCTAAATGTTGAGAACACGGCTTGCGAAAATATACGGGTCGTGTCCACAACACACAAACTGCTCCTGCTGTAACAACAAGTGCATGTTACTGATGCAATATGGTTCAGACCATTCGGGCTTATGCTAGAAGAGGGGTGCAAGGAATAGTAGTGGGGGAGTTTTATACACTAAAGGTGTGGAAATTCTCTGGCGTTATAATATCAGCGCGGCCGCGGTCGGATCAGAATGCCTCCGAATGCAATTTGAGTTGTGAAAAGCGCTATATCAATAAAATGTATTATTACAGCCAATCAGAGCAACGAAATGTTGAGCCTGCATCATGCATTACTGAAGAGATCAATCGGAACCGCCATTCAGTATCCCCATTGGATCTTCAACGTGTACTATCATACGTCACGTTCACAGTGATCCCTTTTTATTTACTACAAGACAAATGTGCCGTTTTATTTCATACAGTTCCATTTTGATTGAGACAGGGAAATAATCGAAACCTCACGCGTGGCGTTTCACTGTCAAGGGAGTTATAGGCTAGCGTCTATGTAATTACATTGCAAATACTGACTTGAGCCCCACCACTGTATGGGTTAGCCCTACCATAGATTACCCAACAAAAATACTCTAGAGCCGCCACTGCCCAGAACCTACAATGTGTTGGAGCGCTAGCCAATAGGAGCGCACGTGTTACATAGTGATCATGTCACGAAGTCAAGGAAGTAAACAAAGGAGTCCAATGGGTGGTGGGAAGTGTTTCAGCCAGTGGGAGAGAAACTCCCTCTGGAGGGAACTTTGGGATGTTACCCTTTGCAGACCATTTACATGCACTAAAAACTATATAACAAACTACAGGGAAGGGGAAACCCAAAGCTTAATAGGCCTTTTTGACAAATGACACAGATGTGAAGTACTGTATATTGGGACCATGCAGTCAGTTTCTCAAGATTAAGATAGCTTCGATGTTCAGGAGGTTTTTAACCTGGAGTCGAAATGATAGGCAGGCTTCTTATCCTCTTTAAAACAAACAGATCCAGTGGGTAAAATCAGTCAAATCACGGAACAAAACTGTTTGGAAACAAAAATCTGTGCTGAGAGAGGGGATACGAGCTTACGTTTGCTCAGCTTGTTTCTCTGATATTTCGGATCCAGATGTCAGATCATTAAAATCCTTCAACCGGTTAAAATATTCAATGAAAAATGACGGTAAAAAAGGATAAAATGACGAATGTAGAATTGGAATATGACAAAGTTATTGGCGACCAAATAAAACGTACCATAATATTGATTGAAAGTTTTTCTCTGGGAAACATTTGAGCTTATGTAAGTAGTACCTAGCATATAACATAGGTCATTTTGATGTTTTAATGCCACATGTTATACCTTTGTATACCATACCATGCATAGGGTGGGTTGCAAATACATGCTTATATGCAATGTGTGCACAAACACACACACACACACCAACACATTGTGATGATTGTGTGTACCTGCTCAATCTTCTTGATCAGTTCTTCAGTCGTTGGGTCGTTTCCTTTCAGCTCTTTGTAACCAATCATTCGATTCAGACCTTCAAGTGTCTCGTCCCTGGCTTCTGACAGCTGAGAGACAGAGTGAGACAAAAACATGACTAGTCACACTGTATATTAAGCTTTTACTTTACTGCACATGTAGACAAATCTCTAGTCACTGTCATTAAGGCCTAGTAATAAAATACATTTCCCACAAGGCAGACTTCACATAAATGAGTAAGTAAACATGAAGAGAAACAAATCTCAGCTACTGTCTGTTTTGTCCTCCAGATATTTAAGATCTGTGTTGCACAGGGGATTAAAAAAAGAGTATGAGATCTAAATTTACTGTAGTGCTTTATATAGGAGCTACTTCACTTGGTGACAAGTAACTGGCAAAGTGAGATAAAAGGCAGCACAATTTAAAACGCCACCGGAGGGACTGTTTTTATAATATTCTAAAATCCCTTTGGACAGCAGAAATAGAAAGGGAGGCAAGGATACACAAGACAGCACAAAAGACAGGCAGGAGGACAAGAGAAGACATGGAAATGAAAAGAGGGGACATTTTAGGAATTGTAGATTCAGGCCTTTGGATGAGACACTCAAAAACAGCTGCAGTTAGTGAGGTGTAAAATATGTAGTGCTGACATCATTTATTGATCAACTTTTAAGATCAATGATATAATTTGTATCTCTAGCAGTGCTATGGGACAGTTCTTTCTTTCTTTCTTTTTTACAATTTTCAATCTTGAGAAGAAGCCAGAGCAATCTTAAATTGTTGGTCCGGGCAACACAAAACGTTTCCTTGTTAAAATTCTAGTGGAGATCCTAAAGTTTGGCAAGATACCAAAATATGTCAGGATGTGTAAATGTGTTTACGATGTCTAGACTATTTCTATTGGATGGAACAGGAAATGAAAATGTCTTGTATTTATACAGCAGTGGATGGTTGGCTTATTCAGAATATAATGTAATACAAACTGAAAAGGCAGTGGTAGACAGCAGACTTCCATCAAGGCCAAACAGTGCTTAGGATGGTACCATGATGTTCTTTAGATATTGGGCTATTCATGAGCTTTAAGTGGTAATGTGGAAACAATTGACGCTACAAATAAGATGTGATAAAGCTCATAGAGTTTAAACAAGAAGTGGATTTACATAAGGTTGCATTAATTAATTGTCCGGAGCAAATGTTTGCTTTTATTCATATAACACATAAATGCAGCAATAATGCCGTATCTCTCGCAATGTGACATACAAAAGAGACGAGATACAAAAGACAAACGTAATGTGTTTTCTTCATCCGGCACCTTTTAGTCAGGTTTCGTGAAACTTGCCTGTAGTTTTCTGTAATCCTGCTGAAAGACAGACAAACTGAGCCGATAACATTACCTCATAGCATAGGTAATAATATTGATCCAACCAATGAAATGCAGTCAAGCATATCGATGAGCCTCTCAACATGGAGATGGCTGAACTCGGAGGCTAAGAGCTAACAATGCTAACACCTGTAGGAAAGACTGTTTGAGCGCATGCGGCACACCCTGGGATCACATGCATGTAAAAAACACATATTCTTGGATTAATGTACAGAGAGGGGGGGTGACTTAATTATCTGCTCTGGCATACAGAACTCCAGTATATCGTATTAAAGCAAATGGTTATTAGCTGTGTATACACTATTTAGATACTTAGAGATGTGAAATTCAAAGAAACTCAATGATTGAAGATCCAATCTGCTTAAGTACATTTTAATAAAGATGATATGAACTCATATCTGCTTCACCTGCTCAGATGGATGGTTCTAGTACTTAAAATAGATTACAGAGACAAAGACAAATAAGGAGACAAGTGGCCTCCTCACCTGTGCAGGGTGTGCATACGGAAATGAGCAATTCAAGCAGATACAGTCCCTCAGCAGGGACGTTAAAGCAATGGGAATAAAGGAAGTCTATATATATAAAAAATATATAAAGCCGAGATGATCAAGGAGCCGTGACAGGGCAGAAAATAGAAAGAAGAAAAACAAATCTGAAGAGAGACAGGAGAAAATAGGAAACATGGCGATAAGAGAGGAGAGGGAACGAGAAGAGGAGGAGAAACGGGGTAGAAAAATGTTGGACACAGGGGTCTGACCTGCAGTGACCCAGCTTATGAAACATTAGCTTCTCTCCACTCAACCATACAGTGTGTGCACGTACACGCACCTGCGCATGTTCACGTGCCTGCATCTAACGCGAGAGATTATCTGCGGAGCATCCAAAGACAGCGTGGAACAAAGGGATGATTCCCATTTCCCCTTCCCTCCCTGGAAGAGATTAATGAATTCTCCGCACATTGAGTCTGATTCAAACAGACCGGAGTGTGCAGCGCTCCGTCAATGTCACATGATTCAGGTTTTCATTTATTAGTATGACCGTCATGTGATTAAGGGAGGTGTTGGAAAGGCTGCGGATGCTCTCGCGGGGAAACGAGAGTTGAGAAAGGGAGACGCTGATCCTGATAGAATGAAAAGCACGTACACGGACAAACTGATAAAAGGCTGACAGATGGAGGAAGATAAAGTGAAGTCCAGAGTGAGGAGATGAGGAAGAGATAGAGAGTGAAAGCTGGGAGACAGAATCAGACAGGAGATGCATGGAAGCTGAAATTGTGTCTGACTGCTACGGCCGCAGCATAGCAACAACATTTGTGGCTCACGTTGTGACCCGTGGCATATATTTAAAACGCCAAACCAGATGGAGTTTACAACAACCACATGATTTTATTGATGACTAATTTAAAATAGGACAAGTCTGGAGGACTGGCAGAAAAGAACAGAAAGATGGAGGAAGCCTGGGCCAGCCACACCATGGGCTGTAGGACGCAGAACTCCCCCCCCTTAAACAAAAACAAAACTCAACTCAGAAAGAAAGCCCCTAAAACCTCCATACAAAAAACTAAGCCAAAATAATTCATAATAATAAAACACTAGCTTTCTAGCATAGTATGCAGCAGAGTGTCCAAAACTTCTCCTCCTGCCTTCCTTGTATGCAGTGATTAGGTGAGATCAGGGACACCTGAGCAGAGGCGTAGACAAGAGCAGATCATGTTCACCTGAGCTGGTGCACAACTGACCAATGAGGAGCATAACTTTTAAAGAGACATATTCTGCTCATTTTCAGGTTTATTTGAGTATGTAGTGTCTCTACTGGGACATGTCTCCATGCTTTCATGTTCAAAAAGTGCTTTATTTGTTCTCATACTGCCTGTGCCTCTTTTCACCCTCTGTCTGAAACCAGAGCCAAATCTGCTCTGATTGGTCAACCATTCAATCAATCAAAGTTTATTTATATTGTCAAATATCAAAAATGTACATTTGTCTCAGGGGGCTTTACAGTGTATACAGAACAGGAATACGACACCCTCTGTCCTTAGACCTTGTGATTGGTCAAGCGCTTAGACATGACCCGCCCCTTAGCCAATCAATTACAATGTGTTCGAGCGCTAGCCAAGAAAGCGCAATATCACTGTGTTATGGATGTAAATGAGTCCAATGGAGGCGTTTCAGGCAGGGGGGGAATCTGTGGGAGGGAACTTTGGGATTTTTGATTTTCCAGACCATTTACATGCACAGAAACCTATATAACACACCTAAGGAAAGGGAAAACTCCAAAAAGCATAATAGGGCCCCTTTAATACATGACAACCTTTCTTTTTTTATAGACGTCTGAAACCAGTGTGTGCCCAGTCCTCGCTCACGAGTCTGACTGATCTGAGTTATGTCCTCGTACGTAACCACCCTGAACCACTTAAACACTTGATGATGAATGGCACCCAGCGCACATCTGTCACTCTCCCCTCTCCGCTCTTCAATCAATCTCTTCTCTGTGTCGTGGCCTCCCTCTTAACATTTTTATCCCCGTCTGCTCGTACGCGTTGATGTTTGTCTTTCTCTTTGCATTCATCTGTCTCCGTGTCAGCGTCTCTGTTCATGCCTGCCTGCCTCTCTGTTTTCTTCAGCTGTCTGTCACAAACAATCGCTGCTTTCTTGGCTCATGAACGCTGTAAAGCATTGTACGTGTGACAGTGGAATACAATTTGCCTTCCACATAATAGATGACACACTGCAAAGTGTAGCAATAATAAATAATGACCCTATTTAAAATCCCAAAACTAGGTTACAAAGTTCCTTTCAATTAAAGGGAATAAAGGACAAAGGGTCGTAGTAGAAAGGTCAGTAAAGTAAACTAGGAGTGACATCATAATCATCATAAGGTTATAAGGTTAATAAGCAGAACATGAGAGCAGGGAAGCTGAACTAAAGCTTTTATACGCCGGAAAATGAGGAATAAATTATGGAAATATGCATTTGAACCTGGCTTCTACATAATCATTTGACAGCAGGTCATATTAATACTCGGTAATATTGCTCTGAAGTGTCAGCTTTCGGATTTTCTTTGAGCGAGAGCACGACCTGCAGCGGGGATTACAGGGGTTTATTGATGTTAGAAAACATTGCGAGCAACACATGTTTCAAAACATAAAATCAATAAGCAATGCAAGCACAATGTCAGATAAGGCCACTGGGGTAAAAAACGTATTAAGGGGTATACAAATGTATTTTTGGTGGATAATACTGAGTGTACAGGCCTGAATTCCTCAAGCAAATCATCCCACAGCCTTGAAAACCTGTAACAACTCAAAGCCCTCACTATCACTCTTTACCTGGGATTCAGGAATAGTTAGGTGTGGTGAGGTTCCCGTCTGTAAAGGACCTCAGGCTAAATCCAGGCTCGTACAAGACATTAAAAGGATAACTGCGAATGACCTTTAAAGTGTTCAGATTGTACTGGAATTCCTTCTACCCGCGTAATCCTGAGCCCGGACAGGTTATAAAGAGTGCCAAAGTCCACATAAGGTGGATAAACTAAAACTTAAAGGGGACCTATCATGCAAAATGCACTTTTTGATGTCTTTTATACTTAAATATGTGTCCCCGGTGCATCGGGGAACTCACGCAGCGTCAGAAAATAAAACCCTTTCTCTTTTCCTCCGTACCCAAATCTTTTAAAAACGGCGGTACAACGAGCGGATACAGATTTGCT